AGGAGGCATCAGAGGTTGATCATTTGGAGCTTCATTACGCGGTACAGCCCCAGAAGACGAAAGGCAATAAATGCCTTTGGAACAAACCCACAAATCTCTGATGATCAAGTAAAACCTGACCATCAGTTTCCTTCATCTGGTCAAGCTTCCTCTTCATGTTTGTAGCATAGTCATGTGCGAGCCGGTGCAACTGTTTATTCTCATGCTTGAGCCCTCTAATCTCCTGTTTGAGACTCATCACTTCAGCCGCCAATGATTCAACTTGGCGGGTTCGAGCAAATAGGCGTTGGGCCATATTAGACACAGAACCTGCACACTGAACACTGAGAGCCAGCGAATCCTTAACAGCTAACTCATCAGACCGTTTGGAAAGTAGTCTGTTATCTTTGGGAGTGAGAAGGTTCCTGGCCACCACCGCAGCGGTCATATCATTCTTCATCACGGAATCCCCAACGGTAAGAGGACCAGTAGGGGAGACGAAGGATGGGCGCCATATGTTGTCTGGAGAAGGCGGGGCTGCCTCTTCAACAAGGTTCAAGTCAAAACGACGGTCGGAGGGGCCAGACATTTTCAAAGGTGTTGAAGAGAGAAGAGGTCGGACAAATCAAGATCTTAGAAGTGCAAGAATGGAAGCTTCTACTGGTGGAGAGATTCAAGTGTGCTTTGGAACTTAATGCCAGCCCCTATAAAAATCTGCACTCGACGGAGCTTCAGAAATCGAAGAGGCGCCTGCTCAGAAATCGAAGAGGCGTTTGCTTTCTCAAAAGCTGGGCTGCTTAGAGATCACGAGGGTTGATCTCAGAAATCGAAGAGGCGTTTGCTTTCTCAAAAGTTGGGCTGCTCAAAGACCACGAAGGCCGATCTCAGAAATCGAAGAGGCGCTCGCTTTCTCAAAAGCTGGGCTCCCAGAGACCACGAGGGCCGATCTCAGAAATCGAAGAGGCACCTACTTTTCCAGCCTTGTCAGCACCTGTCACACGCACACTCAGCTTTGCGGAAATTATGGGCATTCTGTCGAAGACTTCTGGGGAAGTAGAAAACACATGAATCTTACTGTTCAATCACCCACTTCCCACACGCAACAATAGCTCATGGGTACCACAGATAACTTTGCCAAAGTTCTCTGCCAAAGTTGAGCACGTGAAGCTTGCAGCTCCCACTACATCGCTCTGACCAAGAAGGGTAAAAGAATAGCAAAGAAACAGCACTAACAAAGTTTAGACCCATAAATTTTGAAGGTCTAGCTACCATATTATTACCCACAAGGGTAAAGGAACAGTACCACTGCTGGATAATTGGAAAGTCCCTGTGTGTCAACCTCTGTGCTTCGTGGCAAGGTAGACTAGCAAACATGCCCAACCTTTACTCACATTCGAGAAAACACTCCCAATAAGATTGCTTGCTCCAAAATCGAAGAGGCACCGTCCTCCGAATCTCGAGAGCCAGACTCCCAACATGACTACTTTCTTAAAAATCGAAGAGAGGGTAAAGGAACAGTACCATTGCTGGATAATTGGAAAGTCCCTGTGTGTCAACCTCTGTGCTTCGTGGCAAGGTAGACTAGCAAACATGCCCAACCTTTACTCACATTCGAGAAAACACTCCCAACAAGATTGCTTGCTCCAAAATCGAAGAGGCACCGCCCTCCGAATCTCGAGAGCCAGACTCCCAACATGATTACTTCTCTCAAAAATCGAAGAGACACTGCTCCCCGAATCTTCGAGAGCCAGACCCCCAGCATGATTGCTTTCTCAAAAATCGATGAGGCATCGTTCTCCGAATCAATCGAAGAGGCGCTCGCTTTCTCAAAAGCTGGGCTGCTCAGAGACCACGAGGGCCGATCTCAGAAATCGAAGAGGCACCTACTTTTCTAGCCTTGTCAGCACCTGTCACACGCACACTCAGCTTTGCAGAAATTATGGGCATTCTGTCGAAGACTTCTGGTGAAGTAGAAAGCACATGAATCTTACTGTTCAATCACCCACTTCCCACACGCAACAATAGCTCATGGGTACCACAGATAACTTTGCCAAAGTTCTCTGCCAAAGTTGAGCACGTGAAGCTTGCAGCTCCCACTACATCGCTCTGACCAAGAAAGGTAAAAGAATAGCAAAGAAACAGCACTAACAAAGTTTAGACACATAAATTTTGAAGGTCTAGCTACCATATTATTACCCACAAGGGTAAAGGAACAGTACCACTGCTGGATAATTGGAAAGTCCCTGTGTGTCAACCTCTGTGCTTCGTGGCAAGGTAGACTAGCAAACATGCCCAACCTTTACTCACATTCGAGAAAACACTCCCAACAAGATTGCTTGCTCCAAAATCGAAGAGGCACCGTCCTCCGAATCTCGAGAGCCAGACTCCCAACATGACTACTTTCTCAAAATCGAAGAGAGGGTAAAGGAACAGTACCATTGCTGGATAATTGGAAAGTCCCTGTGTGTCAACCTTTGTGCTTCGTGGCAAGGTAGACTAGCAAACATGCCCAACCTTTACTCACATTCGAGACAACACTCCCAACAAGATTGCTTGCTCCAAAATCGAAGAGGCACCGCCCTCCGAATCTCGAGAGCCAGACTCCCAACATGATTACTTCTCAAAAATCGAAGAGACACTGCTCTCCGAATCTCGAGAGCCAGACCCCCAGCATGATTGCTTTCTCAAAAATCGAAGAGGCATCGTTCTCCGAATCTCGAGAGCCAGATACCACAGACCACTTTTTCAAAGTGCTCTGACAGAGTTAAAACATGTGAAACTGGCAGCTCCCACTACCGTGCTATGACCAAGCAGGGTAAAGGAATAGCATTACTACTTGTTGTTAGGGAGACTCCTATATATGTCGACCTCCATCCCCAACGGACAGGCAGACCTGCAAAAATGCTCAACCCTTCATCATATCTGAGAGGGCACTCCCAACGAAGCCTTTCGAAATATTCAGCTTTCTTTCCCCCCGATAATACCTCTGCAAACAAGCTATACTAGAGCAAGAATATCTCATATCATCAGGGTTAAAAGCAAGAGTATCCCATATCATGCTTTTTCCCTGTCTTTTCCTTTGGCCTTGTTTTTACCTGCAAGACAAGGAGAAAGAGAGCAATCAGTCAGCACTTGGAATCAAGCTTCCAGCCAGGAACTGACTGCCTGGAACCCCTTACCTGATTACTTACCTGGCATTGCTCTCGAGTACTCATCTTCAACATCTTATGTTTCCAGGGAAGATACCGCATCTGCTTGAGGAACAGATAGGGCAAGTGCGAAGGATACAAGGAAGCATGTGGAGACAAGCGTAACAGCACACGTGCCGATACATCCATTACTCTGTCAAAAGCAAAAGTATCCCATATCAGCAGGGTCGAACGTACTCTAGATTTGATGGACTTGTTTTGACCCTCAAATTCTTCAGTCGGCCTTATACTCTGGAGGAAACCAGAAAACCCTCCAGCTCAGTTCAAGAATAAGCCTGTGGAAAGTTACTTCTTCAAAAGCAAAAGTATCTCCATATCATCTCTTCTCATTTTTCTTCTCTTTATCCTTCATGCTGCCTGCAAGATGGGGAGAAGGTGAACAATCAGTCCGGAGCTCTGATTGCTTACCTTGTCTGTCACCTCTTTCAGCAGACCCCCTAGCTCGGCGACTTGGGGGACTCCTACTACATGGTTTGTATCGCGCTTGACCAAGCCTGAAACTACAAGTAAGCTTCAAGTGAAATTGATACATTACCTTGTGCATCTCCACCAGTTAAAGATACCACCCCTGGATGGAGGAAGAGTACTTCCAGAGAAGATGCCACATCTACCTATGAGACAGATAAGGCAAGTCAAGACGATACCACACTCCGATACTTAGAAGTTTCGTGATTACGAGATCATTCTCCCACAATATTTCCTAATGTCATTTGTACTAAATCATTCACTTGTACTCACTAAAGGAGAGCTTGAACCTATGTACTTGTGTAAACCCTTCACAATTAATGAGAACTCTTCTATTCCGTGGACGTAGCCAATCTGGGTGAACCACGTACATCTTGTGTTTGCTTTCCTATCTCTATCCATTTATATACTTATCCACACTAATGACCGGAGCAATCTAGCGAAGATCACAAAAAGCGACCGTTTTCGCTACCTAGGATCTATCTTGCAAGAGAACGGAGAATTAGATGGAGATCTCAACCATAGAATACGAAGCTGGATGGATGAAGTGTAAGAGTGCATCCGGCGTGTTGTGTGACCGTCGTAGGCCACTGAAGCTCAAGGGAAAATTTTATAGGACGGCAATAAGGCCAGCGATGTTGTATGGCACAGAATGTTGGGCGGTGAAGCATCAACACGTACACAAAATGGGTGTAGCGGAGATGAGGATGCTTCGTGGGATGTGTGGGCACACGAGAAAGGATAAGATTGGGAATGAGGATATCCGAGGTAAAGTAGGAGTAGCCGAAATTGTAAGGAAAGATGAGAGAAAATCGGCTTCCGGTGATTTGGACATGTGCAAAGAAGGCCGACTGACGCTCCGGTTCGAAGATGTGACTACGGGACAGAGGTTCAGGGCCGAAGGGGTAGAGGAAGACCTAGGAAAACTTTGGAAGAGAGACTCTAAGAAAAGACTTAGAGTACTTGGATCTAACGGAGGACATGACACAAAACCGAGCGCAATGGCGTTCTAGGATTCATATAGCCGACCCCACTTAGTGGGAAAAGGCTTTGTTGTTGTTGTTGGTTTTTTATTTATGGGCATTGTTTTTGGGGTTTTTGTTTGTGGCAGCAAGTGTTTAGTATTCAGCAAAGGTAGTTTAGGTTGCATTTTTTTTTTTATCATTAAATTCCAATAATTTATGTTTGACCAAAGAAAAGGACCAATTTGGGTCTAACAAAAGAAAAAGGACCAATTTGTAACCAAAAAATTTTGAAGGACCAAAGTGAAAAAATAATCATAAAATTTGAGGCCCTTAAACTAAAAAAATTGGAGTTTCATTGGACTTAAGCGGACTTTGACTTTACTTTACCTTGTGGTGTTTGTAGATCTCAAAATCCTTCATCTGTGCGAACTCAAAACCTCTGTGCCAAGTACCTGACAATTGCTCCAATGGATACCTCGACGTCCTCGTCTTCCTCCTTAAAACGTTGGAAGTACGACGTGTACTTGAGCTTTCGACGTGAAGACACACGCAAGAACTTCACGGACTACCTCTACCTCGCGTTGAAAGACGCCCAAGTCAACGTCTTTATGGACGATGACGAACTAAGAAGAGGGGAAAGTCTGAAAAACGACCTGATTCAGGGAATCGAAGGGTCTAAAATCGCTGTCATCGTCTTCTCAAGGTGGTATGCGGAGTCAAGTTGGTGTCTTGACGAGCTTGTGAAGATCATGGAGTGCAGAAGAACACTGGGTCAAATTGTTTTTCCAATATTCTATGATGTCGATCCTTCAGATGTCAGGAAACAGACCGGTACTTTTGCAACAGCATTTCTGAACCACGAACGGCGGCTGTATGAAGTCAAAGAAAAGTTACAGCTATGGAGAGACGCTCTTACTGAAGCTGCAAATTTGTCTGGTTTTGTTTTTGGAGACGCCGATGGGTAAATAGATTACTTTCTTATTTCCTTTTCTTTATTCCGTATGTTTTTAAATTCCCAATCCATTTTTAATATATATAAATGATGCTTTATTTCTTTGGTTCCTAAACAGAAGTTATTAATTGTCCACCCAATCTCAAGAAACAATAGAATGACAGTCAAAAGTACTTTTGCAGTAAATTTACAAGTATTTTTGAGTCATAGAATCGCTTTTCGAGCAAGAGCATGTTAGATGCTTTTCCAGGAACTTGGTTTTTTTGGTAAAATTGTTAACATGTGCTTAACGAAAGCACCTCTGTACATGAACATAATTGCTTACACATTCTTCCTATATATATCTCTATATCTATCACGTATGGTTGGATATCAAGCTAATTAGAGCACTCTTCAACAGTTTTGGTAAATTTTTTACATTTAGCATATGAACGAGTCCTTTACAGAGTCTCTTGGGTGAGTCTTTTAGATTTGGCTCTTTAAAATAGAGTTTGTGGTTGAGAGCTCCTCTTGGAGATGCTCTTAGGCGGACCAACGTACTGCACCCTGTAAATGGTATTTGGAGATTTTGACTCTTCAAATCCTGAATGGTTATAGTTGAACGGACACATAAACATCTTAATGTTGCAGTTTGTATAATAAATCTAACTTTTAATTCATTTGGACTTTTGGCAACCAGGTATGAAGGAAAGTTTATCAGGGAAATTGTCACTCAGATCAGCAGAGCCTTGAACCGCAGCACATGCTTAGAGGTAGCCACCAATCTAGTTGGAATTGGTTCTCGGGTGCAAGCAATCAGTAATTATTTAGATGTTGGGGGATCAAATGATGTTCGCATAATTGGAATTTGGGGTATGGGTGGAGTGGGTAAAACAACCGTTGCCAAAGCCATATTCAACAAATATCAGGATACGTTTGAAGGTAAAAGTTTCCTTCAAAATGTGAGGGAAAGGAAATTGGTTCAAGTGCAAGAGCAACTTCTTTTTGATATCTTGAAACCGTCCAACATAATGGTAAGTAGTGTCGATCAAGGGATCTTGGAGATAGTATTAAGACTTCACGACCGAAGGGTACTTGCCATAGTTGATGATATAGATTGCATGGAACAGTTAGAAGCATTAGCTATAAAACGTGACTCGTTTGGTGCTGGGAGTAGAATTATAATAACCACAAGAGATGAACATTTGCTAAAGATGCTTGGAGTGGATACGATATATGAACTGCCAGTAATGAATAGAGAAGAAGCTCTTATGCTACTTAGTTGGCATGCCTTTAGAAAGAACTATCCTGAGAAAGAGTATTTTGAACTCACAAGAGAAACTGCTGACTACTGTGGAGGTTTGCCACTAGCACTTGAAGTTGTAGGTTCTTATCTATCTGGGAAAAGCATAAGTGCTTGGAAAGGTGCATTGGAGAAATTGGAAAGTCATACTCATGAGAAGATTCATGAAAGACTTAAAATCAGCTTTGATGAGCTAGCTGATGATGACCTGAAGGCTATATTCCTTGATATATCTTGTTTCTTTACTGGAATGAACAAGGATTATGTCATGAAAATATTGGATGGCTGTGACTTATATCCAGAAATCGGAATAAGTGTCCTCCAAGAGCAGTGCCTTGTAACTACTAATGATGATTTCACACTGGTGATGCATGATTTGCTCCGTGACATGGGAAGAGAAATTGTGCATGCAGAATCCCCTGATGACCCTGGAAAACGCAGTAGATTATGGCATCACGAAGATGTGATTTGCGTATTGAGGAACAAATCTGTAAGTATGGTTTGCAATTAAATTTTATGTTAAACACATGTACTTAACAAAGAAGTGTATGGATACCACACACATCTAATAAATTGTATAAGTTGGATGCTTCAACTACAACACAATGAGTTGATTGGACGACACCCAAATATACTACAGGTGGAATGAAAAGAGAAACAGAGCAGAGAAAGGAAAGTATAGGAGACATCTAGGGAACCGATTGTATTGAATTATTTAAATTAAATAACGGAATCATATATCATATATGTTCTACACTTCTTAGATACAAGAGGTAAAACGTAGCACCTGTAGCAGATGCTTACTAAGATACCTAACTAATTTGAACAATTGTAAAATCACATCTGAAGTCTAAAGCACAACTATGGCTTTAATCCATAGGTACTATAACAACTGATAGGTTGTCTACCTCTCTTGTAATCATACATCCAATGCATGGTTTTGCTTCATGTGTATAAATCATATTTTCAAATGCAGATAACCGTCTTCTTACTCAGTTCCTTGTCCCTACACCCCCCCCCCCCTCTCCCTTGCTCTCCTCTTTCAATAGGGAACTGAAGCAGTTCAAGGACTCACTTTAGATTTGCAAGAGTCTGACGAGGCTAGCTTCAGTACAGAAGCATTTAGAAACATGCAGAGTCTGAGATTGCTCAAACTCAATTACGTGAAGCTCACTGGCAGTTACAACAATCTGTCCAATGAGTTAAGATGGTTGTGTTGGCATGGATTCCCTCTGGAGGTCATACCAGAAGATTTTGATCACCCAAACATAGTTGCTATTGACCTGAGCTATAGCAAACTCAAACGAGTTTGGGAGGATTCCGATCTGGTACGTTATGACTTCAATCAAATTATTAATTCATTCCTCTAGGTTTTGTAACCACCATCATCATGCTTTCTTCTTCTATTTGAATTTGAATTTGAGTTTTTTTCCTTTTATCTTGCAGTTGCTTGAGAAGTTGAAGTTTCTTAATCTAAGTCATTCCCATTACCTAACACATTCACCGGACTTTTCAAAACTCCCAAATCTCGAGCAATTGATACTTCAAGACTGCAAGTGTTTGCTCCACGTTGACCAGTCCATTGGTCAACTTCAGAAACTTGTTTCGGTAGATCTTAAAGACTGCAAAGTGCTTAGGTATCTCCCAAAGAGTTTTTATAAATTGACATCTGTTCAAGCTCTTGATCTCGCTGGCTGCTCAAAATTTAGAAACTTGGCTCCGGACTTGCGTGGGTTGGCATCGTTGAGAGCTCTTACTATAGATAACACAGCATGGAAATCAATATCAACTTCCATATTCCAACTGAAGAACCTGAATTCTCTCTCTCTTTATGGTTTTGAATGGCCACTATTAACCAATCGTTTGCTTCGTCCATTATCAGTGTTTAACACTTTAAGAGAAGTATGTCTTGCAGGCTGCAGTTTAACTGATGATGCAATTCCTATGGAGCTTTGGAGACTAAATTTTTTAGAACATTTAGATCTTCAAAGGAATAGATTTCGTAGCCTACCAAGTTTCAGTGGTATTTCAAAGCTTCAATCATTGTCTTTGGCTGGTTGCTCAGATCTTCGTGCAGTGCCAGAGTTACCAACAAATTTGAAAATCCTGAATCTGAGTCAGTGCTTTGCGTTGGAGGGAATCCCAGACCTTTCTGCAATGTCAAGTTTAAGAGAACTTCACTCCCCCAACTTCACAGAGATGCCGGGCTTGCATAACTCATTAAAATCCTTGACAGTGATTCATATGGAAGGGTACACAAATCTCACTGCTGATTCTAGGAAGAAGATATTACAAACTCCCAAAAGATCAAGCAATGATTCTTTTGACAAGAACCGAACTAGCAAAAGATTAAGGCCTGATCCTGGTAATCAAATTAATTAGTACAGATGAACTGTTACCATGATCCCCTTCTTGGCAATTTATGTACTTGTCTTCTCGTATTTTAACCGTCCATGAGTTCATGGGGAACCGCGGGATATCTTTCAAGGATGCTCTCGTGGATGATGGTTACAGTTTGGGCCAGGTATGAAGTCCTCCCTATGTTTCTTCGTTAAAGTCATTAATAAAGCTCTTCTTGATGATGGTTTGAGGAGCCACCCTATTATTTTTGCTGTTGCAGTTCATCCTCCACACAAGAGGGGTCACAATTAAGTCGTTTCACCCACCCCCAAAGTCGATGGATCGAAATTCTTTTTGAAGCCGGAGCCAAAAATATAGGTCATGCTGGAGTGCTTGCTGCTGAATGCCAAGCCCTTGGAGATGGTGTAGCTTGTATACTTCACAAGCGATAGGAAAAGGTTGAGGTTGAGGGTGACGCAAAAATTGTTATGTAATGTGCGATGAAACAATTCCAGATCAGTGGGAGAATCAGAAGCCGTTTAAGCATACTCTAGGGTGGGAAACTTCCTGGAGGGGTGTGCTTGCCAAGCTTTTCTGAGGCTTTGTTGCGTATCAATACAGGAATTCAATATAATTCGTTACATTTGTTTTTTATTTTATTTTTTTAGATCCAACCCAATCAAAGGAAAAAAAAGTACCATGCGCCAATTGGATTAAACTATGGGGCAAGCATGGAATTCGTACTTAGCACAGCTACCAAAATAAATAAAAAGGTCATCGACATAGCCAAACCATAGAACAAAAAATTCTTCGCTAAGCGTATTCATACTTACCATTGCCAACGTACATACATTCTGGTTATTGGTTAACCATGAGACTCCATGATACATTTTCTTTGTGTCATGACGAACAATCTTACTTAGGGCTGGTTTGGTATTGCTGTGCTTTGAAAAAAAGCTGCTGTGAGAATAAGCGGCTGTGCTGTGAGATTAAGCGGCTGTGAAATAAAGCCAGTAGAGTGTTTGGTAAACTTTTTTGTGAAAGTGCTTTTGGAAAAAAAAAAGCAGGATGATAGTGTGTCTTTTCATTAAAGGAGCACTGTAGCTCCATGTGCTTTGAAAAACTGGCTTTTTTTCAAAGCAGCAAATAGCAGCTTCAGCTTTTCCTTTGATTTTCAGCTTATTCTCACAGCAGCTTCCAAAATAAGCCATTTTTTTTCAATTTACCAAACACAAAAATGACCCTCAGCTTTTTTTCACAGTGGCTTTTTTTAAAATCACCTCAATCCCAAACGGGGCCTTAGACTTTGATCTCACATCACTTCACGGGTTTTCAAGTGTTTGGTTTATTTGTGAAGGTTGGGTTTGGCTTATCATCAAACGAAATCCATAGATCAATTGAATCAAGTGAATTAAAAACAGCACCCCAAAGCCCAACACCATACAAGCAAACCAAAACAAAGCAAAGGCCGAAAGAGAGATCGAAGTCATCAAACAGCATAGCAATGTAAAGCAAAGTATCGATCCAAATAAGGTACCGCTCATCCAAGACGGGGCTTTCTCTAGTGAATAATGGAACAAAAACAGTTAGATCAATTGGTCTAACAGGATCTAACAATTTTTGTTTCATTAATGTGCAAGGTAGCTGTGTAATGAAAAACTTTGGCATCCAAGACCAGTACAAGCAAACCAAACCCAAAAACAGTATCTATCCGACAGCATCAGTGACTACGGACGGCGCAGCTGAGCTTACTCATAGACATACATGACACATGACACACGTACAGAGACTACAGACTGCTGAAACTCAAAGAAAATAAAGAAGAGAGCAACAGCCCAAGACTATAATCCAACAGCATCCTCGAAATCAGCAAGATGATGGTTTGGAACGAGATATACCAATAACGGAGTCAATTATTGCCATGAACTTGCTCCTCTCCGGGCAGTTCTTACTCGTTGAAAACTCTTATTGTAGATAACACAGCTATGAAATCAATACCACCTTCCATATCCCGACTGAAGAACCTGACGTATCTCTCTCTTCATTGCTTGAAATGGCCACTACCAACCTCTCTTTTGCCTCCTATGCCAGTAGGGTTAAACTCCATAAGAGTACTATCTCTTGCAGGCTGCAATTTAACTGATGTTGCAATCCCTATGGAGCTTAGGAGTCTAATTTCTTTAGATCTTCAAAGGAGTAGTATTTGTAGCCTACCAAGTCTCAGTGGTTTTTCAAAGCTTGATACATTGCGTTTGAATTATTGCACAAGACTTCGTGCAATTCCAGATTTACCAATAAGTATGGAAATCCTGGAAGCAGATGAGTGCATTGCATTGGAGAAAATGCCAGATTTTTCGGAAATGTCAAGGATGAGAGTCCTGCATCTGAATCATTCTCCCAAACTCACTGAGATTCCAGGCTTGCACAAGTCATTAAAGTCCATGACAAGGATTCATATGGAAGTGTGTAAAAATCTCACTGATGACTTTAGGAAGAAGATACTACAGGTCTCTCTACATAAACATGCATTCATTTGTGTGTTGCTCATACAAATCTTGATGTACATGGTATAGGGATGGACTTCTTGCGGATATGGTGGCATTTTCCTCAACGGGAATTACATGCCTGAGTGGTTCAGATATTTCAGGGGTGATGAAGTCTGTCTTGTAGTGCCTCAAAGTGTTAGTAGTAATTTTAAGGGGTTGACTCTGTGCTGTGTGTATTCTTCAAACAAACAATCTGAAGATTGTCCTCTTGGCATTTCTATTCGAAATAAAACCAAGCATACTGCTATGCTCGCCCGGATAACATATGCCTCAGTACCAACTTCCTGTGATTCTGAAGACCATTATCTTTGGCAGGGGCAGTTATCCAACGATGTGCTCGGTTGGCAAGATGGGGATGAAGTCAAGATTTTTGTAGGGCCAGTTGGACCAGGAGATAATTCTGCAAGAGTGAAGAAAATAGCGGTTGATCTTGTCTGGGACAAATTTATGAAGGAAAATATGGATGATTCGCATCCTGGCTTATATGATTTTAACCCACATGAGGCAAGAGCAAGCCATGACGCATTTGATGGGAGCCTACCTTCCAAAATATTGAGGTCTGATAATACTGTTGGCGATGATGACGAGGCAGGGCCAAGCAATGATTCATCTGATGAGAACCAAGCTCCCAAAAGATCAAGGCCTGATCCTGGTAATTAAATTAATTAGTGCAGATGAACTGTTACCATGATCCCCCTCTTGGCAATTTATGTACTTGTCTTCTCTCCATCGTCTTATTTTTCAAGGATGCTCTCCTTGATGATGGTTATAGTTGGGGCCAGGTATGAAGTCCTCCCTATATTTCTTCGTTAAAGTCATTAGTAAAGCTCTTCTTGATGATGGTTTGAGGAGCCACCCTATTATTTTTGCTGTTGCAGTTCATCCCTCGCAAAAGAGGTGTCACAATTAAGTGGTTCCTCCAACCCCCAAAGTCGATGGATCGAAATTATTTTTGAAGCTCAAAAATATAGGTCAAGCTGGAGTCCTTGCTGCCGAATGCCAAGCCCTTAGATGGTGTAGCTTATATACTTCACAAGCGATTGAAAAAGGTTGAGGTTGAGGGTGAAGCAAAAATTATTATGTAATGTGCGAAGAAACAAGCCGTTTAAGCATACTCTAGGGTGGGAAACTTCCTAGAGGGATGTGCTTGCCAAGCCTTTTTAAGTCTTTGTTTCGTATTAATACAGCAGTTCAATATAAGTCATCACATTTGTTTTTTATTTTATTGATATCCAACTACTCTGCAACTGCAAAATAAGAAATGCCATCGACATGATGATCCCCAAAAAAACGAACATCGAATATGTTCGACAGCCAAACCATAGAACAAAAACTGCTTAGCAAAGCGCATTCATGCTTACCATTGCCAACATACATACCTTCTGGTTGTTGGTTAACCATGAGACTCCATGATACATTTTCTGTGTCGTGACAACCAATCTTACTTGCACTTTGATCTCACATCACGACACGGGTTTTCAAGTGTTTGGTTTGATTTATTTGTGAAGGATGAGTTTGGCTCATCATCATAAGAAATCCATAGATCGATCGAATCAGTGAATTAAAAACAGCACCCCAAAGCCAACACCATACAAGCAAAGCAAAGCAAGGCAGAGGCCGAAAGAGAGATCTAACAGCATAGCAAAGCAAAGCAAAGTACCGATCCAAATAAGGTACCACGCACCCAAGAAGGGGCTTTCTCCAGTGAATAATGGAACAAAAACAGTTAGATCACTTAGTCTAACAGGATCTAACAATTTTTGTTTCATTAATGTGCAAGGTAGTTGTGTAATGAAAAACTTTCGCATCCAAGATCAGTACAAGCAAAGGGCTTTGCACCAAAAAAATAAGAACATAGTATTCCAAGACCAGTACAAGCAAACCAAACCCAAACACAGTATCTATCCGACAGCCATCAGTGACTATGGACGGGGCGGGGTGAGCTTACTCATAGACATACATGACACATGACACACGTACGGAGACTACAGACTGCTGAAACTCAAAGAAATTAAAGACGAGAACAACAGCCCAAGACTATAATTTAACAGCATCCTCGAAACCAGCAAGATGATGGGGTTGGACGAGATAGACCAATAACAGGGTCAATTATTGCCATGAACTTGCTCCTCTCCGGGCAGTTCGAACAGAATTGGTAGGATACTTAATTGATTCTACAAAAAAATATGCTCAGCAATACGTAACACAAAATTGCTTAAACTTAGATGAAGAAGGAAAAAAGAATACATATTTTAGGCAAAGCCATGGAATATTTATGAAGACAAAAAATTAGGCATCATCAAGTACCCTAACTAAATAATTAAAATTCATGAATGGTAATCCTAGAACCATACATGCAACAAATAAATTAAGCTGCAAATTTGAAATTAGAGATAATATTATTCCTCCTCACAAACCCTAAAACCAAAACAAACATGAAAAAAGCATACCAAGAGAAGAGCAAGGAGTATGGATCTCACCTTGGAGATTCGTCGGTTTGGCTGGAAACTTCCCCTGCCCGGATCCTCATAATTGTGTTTGCACCTTGTTAAGTACCACCTTGACCTTGACTTGTCACGGAAATATAGTTCATGAAGCCAATTTTTATCAGGCGTGGCCTATTGGGACAATGCGTGGCACTAAAACAGAATGATATAATTGTGTTTCTAATTTAGTCCAGTAAGCCAAATCTTGTTTTGAAGATTTTTAGGTGTTCGATATGCAAATTCTTCCTTGAAGTAGCAATGTAATTGAGTGGTACATCTTGATGATGTTGAATACGGCATTACAATAAAGCAAGAGAGGCTTTGATGAATTTTTTAAAACAGAAAACTTCAACTAAAAACGTAAAAGATATTGCTGAACTTGGGAGGTTGTTTCTAAAAGAATTGCCCGAAAGATTTCAACTTCAATGTTATCTGTGTATCATAGAAAATGGTGGAAGTGATTTGTATTATTTTCTATGGTTTTTGTTGCATGTTTTTTCTGTGTCAATGTAATATTGCTTATACATATTTATATCCCATTGGTTATTTTGTAGGAGCCAAAAGGCTATATCATTAATAGGTTTGTTGAGTGTTATTGTGTGTGTCAAATGTGATTGTTCTAAATTCCGTATTAATAGTCGTAAAAGGGAGTTGGGTCATGGTGTGTATTGTGGTGGTAATGCATCAAAAGGCTGCATTTGGTATAATGTCGGGAAAATATCGGGGAGTAAAAAAAAAACCAACCTAAAACTAGTGAACATAGCATGAAGAATTAGACTTCAAGTTTGGAATTTGATAATGGTGTTGAATATTTACTATTTGCTATGGTTGATGTCGCTCTCCGAAAGAAAAACTATGGTTCTCCATGAGCGACATGATCCAAAATGAAGAACCACAACTTTTCTTTTGGAAAGCGACATCAACCATAACAAATAGCAAATATTCAACACCATCATCAAATTCAAGTTGAAGTCAAATTCTCTATGTTACGTTCAACAGTTCTAGGTCGGTTTTTTTTTGTACTCCCCGATATATTTTCCTGACATTATACCAAATGCAGTCTTTGATGCACTACCACCACAATACACACCACGACTCAACTCCCTTTTACGACTGTTAATACAGAACTTAGAACAATCACATTGACACCCAAAATAACACTCAGCAAACTTATTAATGATATAGTCTTTAGCTCTTACAAAATAACCAATGAGATATAAACATGTATAAACAATATTACATTGTCACAGAAAAGAAGATGCAACAAAAACCATAGAAAATAATACAAACTACTTACACCATTTTCTGTAGTACACAAATAACATTGAAGCTGAAATCTTCCGGACAATCCTTTTAGAAACAATCTCCCAAGTTCAGCAATATCTTTTACGTTTTTTTTTTGTTGAAGCTTTCTCTTTTAAAAAATTCATCAAAGACTCTCATATGCTTTATTGTAATGGGCCCATGATGCAATAACTGGTGGATGAGATGTAATGGTATGAAGTTTCTGCTCAGGGTCTAGTAGAACTGGAAAAAAGAAGTTACATGCATATTTAACGAGCTTTGAGGCTCTAAACCAACAACTAAGGGAAAGAGTATACCATTGATAGCCAACACAAAAACAAATTAAACAACATAGAGACATAAAAAGTAACAGAAACATACGTTTAGAAATACCAATGCACCGATCCTGCAATCTGATGCCATGAGAACCATGTCCAGTAGAAGCACAGAAACAAATGAAGTACCAATGCAGTGAGACGAATTGTCAGACAAATCTACAGTCAAGTCCTCAGCAGATTCAGCATTAGCAGAAACTAGACCAGGGATAACAGTAGCAGGAATATCAGAACAACTCCATATAGTTCCTAAAAGTAAGAACCAAAAAACAAAACAAAAAATAAGGGTCAGACTTCAAATACTAGAAAGAAAAAAAAATACTGAAATCATGAACAGTAAAGGGGATTTATGATTCTTTTGTTTGAAAAAAGGAAGTACCAATGCACTCAGACAAATTGTCAGACAAATCAATAAGAAATTCCTCAACAGATTCAGTATTAGCAAATATTAGACAAGGGATAACAGTAGCAGGAATATCAGGACAACTCCGTATAGTTACTAAAATTAAGAACCAAAACCCAGATAAATAAGGGCCTGACTTCAAATACTAGAAAAAAAATACTGAAATCATGAGCAGTAACGGAGATTTATGATTCTTTTGTTTGAGAAAGGTAAGTACCAATGCACTCGCGAATTGTCAGACAAATCATCAAGAAATTCCTAGGCAGATTCAACAACAAATTCAGCACCAGCACAAATTAGACCAGCGATACCAGTAGCAGGAATATCAGGACAACTCCATATAGTTCCTAAAATTAAGAACCAAAACCACATAAATAAGCGCCTGACTTCAAATACAAGAAAAACTACTGAAATCATCATTAGTAGTAAAGGGGATGTAAGGACCAATGCACTCCGACGAATTCTCAGACAAATCAACAAGAAATTCATTGCCAGATTCAGCAACAGATTCACCATTAGCAGAAATTAAATCAGGAAGAAGAAAAAGCTGTACAATTTCTAAAAATAATAACAAAGTCCGACATCAAATACAAGATTATCCACTGAAAAATTATGAGCAGTAAAGGCATTGACGAAATCAAAACATGAAACAACAACTGTTAGTGATCGACCAATAAATTGAGGAAAGAACGAAGAGAATCAAAATTAAAAAATGGCAAAATCTCAACAAAAGCAGTAGTCTCAAGCAAAAGAACCATAAATAAGTTAGAAAAATTCATAAATGTTTTACCAAAATGCATGGTTGAAGCAGAAGGGGAAAAATTGTAGAGCGTTCTCAACGAAATTTCTGACCGTAAGAATGAACAAATTTATATTTTTCATAAACATAAAAAAAAATTACCGAATAGACGAAATCATACCTGAGAAAAGGTGAAGGTGGTAAGATTGATAGAACTGGGAAGATCTAAATCATAAAGTAATATGAAATAACGAGATCTGAAAATTCAGATCTCCTTATTTCATCTCACATCATGAATTGGGGTATTCTCTTGACCGTAAGAATTGACAGAACCAAAAGAATTGGTATATTTTTCTTAAGGAATAATTAAACAAAACAAAGAATATTGAACATGGAGTTCTTCTCAACTGCTAATAATTATATGCAGCGGTTTTTGCCTCTGACTCCAACTGAACCCTATGGCTTTGTTTTTATAGCCGCAAGTATGACTTTCAAACTTAACCTAAGCGTCGTAGTATCTCAACCGTTAAAAATAAATAATCTAACGGCTGTGCATGTTATTAGGCCTAGCGTGAGGTGGATTTCGATGCATTTTTTATTTACATAGGGTAAATTGTAGCTATAGGACCTTAATTCTAACTTAATTGGAGTAATGGTCTTTCAATTAAAAATTCATTACCATTGGTCTCTCAACTCATCAAAACGTGTAGCTATGGTCTCTCAATTAAAAGTTCATTACCATTAGTCCCTCAACTTTAAATCAACTGAAGAAATAGTCCCTTAACTTTAACTTAATTGTAGCAGTTGTCCTTCCAACATAACTCGTTTTGACCAAATTTTTTATGTAGTTGACGAAAAAGACCATAATTACACACTTTAATGAGTTGAGTGACCCTAATTATATAAATGGTTATTCTAACAGAACTTATTTTGAGAAAATTTTGACGAAAATTGATAAAAATGACTATAGCTACACATTTTGATAAGTTGAGGGATCAATGGTAATAGATTTTTAGTTGAATGACCATTACTCTAATTTAATTAAAGTTGAAGGAACATTACTACAATTTACTTATTTACTCGTGAAACTCTTCTTTTGGTAATTTTTTCAAAGAAATTATAGTATTTTTATTTTATCTCTCGTGAAGGAAATGGATGGTCGGTTGGGAAACTCTCGAGAAAAAAAATGGATTTAGCATTTAAATTAAAATAAAAAATTACAGCAAGAGGAATTTCCTAGAGTCTACAGAGAGACTTTTGGAAAATTACACCAAATTTATCTTTTCTTTTTATTTTTATTTAAAGTCCAGCTACACTGTTTCTCTTAAACAAATTGATAAACACAACGAATAAACGAATTAAACTAATCCAACGGCTTTGCGTGTGCGATAGAAATAAATTTTGGAGAAATTACGGCACGACATTTCCACCTTCTGCGTGTGGAATTCATTGTGTTACATAAATATGATAATTTTATATACTATCTATTGACATTATACAAAACAACATGAAAATAATGGGATTTTAATACATTGTTGTTTGTGTTACATAAGTTTGAATTTTTAAAACTCTACAAACTCTCATGAAAAGTATTGATATTTTGCACAACCTTGAAATACAAGTCTTTTCATTTTGCATATCCATGAACGTTTAATATTTTATAGTAATATACTAACGTTTTTCCACTATGCTCTTATTTTGGAGTATGTAATATTTGAACAGTGAAATCCATAGACAGAATTTCACATGATATGTGTCACATGGGGTGTTTCAAACCAAATTGCTAATGGAGTCAACTAAAAAACATTAATTTTGTACATTTGTTGTTTAACAAAAATGTTAATTAGCGAACTTTTAATTTTGGGACCAAATCTAAACTTACTCAAAATTCACAGAAGAAGTCTCAATATTTGGGAAAATGTGTAAAAGAAATGCAAATGAGGAAAAAGAAAGAAATTACGTTGGCCCAGAAGTGAAAAATCCATAGCAAACAAGAAGTGGAATGACACTCTGAAAAAACATAATGTAATACTGCCAGCGACCTGCCAACCGAAAGCCTTGCAACAACAATGATTCTTCTTCCGGAATCATTCTCCGTAAACCAATTTTAAAAATGATCGTATCTGTCTCAGCAAAAAGCAGAAGCAGTTGCGGCGTTGATCCGCCGTCTGGACTTCAAACGGTCGTCGGCTTCTGTTCAAGAAGCTGCAGCTCAAGCTGTTATCGAAAAATTCCTTCCCACCATATCAACAGTTTCGACTTCAAGATTGTCTCCTAAGTACTATTCTTTTTCCTTTTTTTCGCTCAAAATTCTCGCATTTGGATTCTGGGTTTGACTTTTTGTGTTGTTTTATTACTGCTTTTCGTCCTGCTCATAAAAGCGCTTTTCTTAACATGTACAAAATTTTATTAGAAATACAAGTGCTTCGTGGAAAAGCACTGGAATCTTTATGAAGTTGCACATAACGCCTGCTTTTCCGGAAAGTGCTTCTACCACCGGAAGTGCCTTTCAGTTTTTCCGCTTAACGTGGTTGAAAACACTTTTGGTTCTTCATAAAGCACTTTTAGCACTTCAATTCGATAACAGCGATGGAGAAAAGTACAAAGGGAGCAGTGATGGAGAAAAGTACAGAGAGAGTATAGAGAGAGAAAGTAGAGAGAGAGAGAGAGTAAAGATATTTCTTTGTATATTTTCCACATACACTTACATCTGTTTGCACCAACTACTTTATATATAAATACAATCTTATAACTAACTAAATCTTCTTTACTCCGATAATGACACCTGTCACTATCCTAACCTTTCCTTTTATGCTAACATTCCTCCTCAATCTTATGGAGGGAAGAACCCAACATAAGATTGTTACAATGAAAATTAAACTGAGATGAACATAATCCTTTGGTGAGGACATCAGCACACTGTTCTGTGGTAGAGACAAACTGAAGCATGATTGTCCCTAGTTGAACTCTTTCTCGAACAAAATGACAATCGATCTCGATATGTTTAGCTTTAGAATGAAGAATAGGATTAGTAGCCAATGCCATGGCTGAAAGGTTATCACAGTGAAGAAGGGGAACAGAGGAACAAGAAATCTGCAAATCCTTTAACAATGGTTGAATCCACACAATTTCAGCAGTAGTGGTGGCCATAACACGATACTCTGCTTCAGTAGACGACCTACTCACAATATGTTGTTTCTTGGAACTCAAAGAAATAGGATTAGCACCTAAAAACACTACAAAACCAGTGGTTGAGCGCCTGTCATAGGGATCCCCAGCCCAATCTGCATCTGTGTAAGCTTTAATATCAAGAGATCCAGGTCCAAACCGAATACCACAAGTCATAGTGCCACGGAGATAACGCAAAATCCGTTTAACAGCAAGAAAATGATCTACAAGAGGAGCATGCATAAACTAGCAGACCTGATTCACAGAATAGGCGATGTCTGGTCGAGTAAAGGTGAGATATTGAAGAGCCCCAACAATACTTCGATATTTGAAAGGATCGGAGAATGAGGGACTGCCATGATTCAACAGTTTGTGATTATGATGGCAAGGAGTAATGCACGGTTTGCAATTAAACATGTCAGCCTTGTGTAACAGATCAGTGATATACTTGGATTGATGAACAAATATGCCACTGGAGTGATACTCAATCTGTAAACCAAGAAAATAATGCAGAAGACCCAGATCCTTCATGTCAAACTCAGTAGTCAACTGATGAATCACAGTTTGAACCTCAACAACACTACTGCCTGTAAGTATAATGTCATCCACGTACAACAGAAGAACAATAATGGAGTGATGCGTATGTTTGACAAACAGGGACGGAGCAACATAAGATGATTTAAAACCCAAAGTGAGAAGAAATTTTATAAAACGTTCATTCCAGGCCCGTGGAGCCTACTTCAGCCCATAGAGAGACCGCTGTAGTTTACAAACATGTGCAGGGTGTATAAGATCAACAAAACCCGGATGTTGAGCCATATAAACCTCTTCTTCAAGAAAGCCATGTAAAAAGGCATTTTTAACATCCAACTGTTTGAGTTTCCAACCATTAGAAGCAGCTAAAGAGAGAAGAAGTCTCACTGTGGTAGGCTTAACCACTGGACTAAATGTCTCATAGTAATCCAACCCGGCTTCTTGGGAAAACCCCTTAGCCACTAATCGGGCTTTGTACCGAGCAACAGTACCATCATGATGTTTTTTTTTTTATTTTATAGATCCATTTACACCCAACTAAGTTCTTATCTGGAGGAAAAGGAACTAAGGTCCAAGTGTTCTGCTGAATAAGAGCAGTCATTTCTTCTTGCATTGCATCTCGCCAGTGAGACAATTTACAAACGGCAGAGTAAGACTGAGGTTCTTGATCTCTAGATTGAACTGCAACAGAAAATGCCGTCTTTTTCTTAGAGATACCTGACTTTGAACGAGTCTGCATAGGATGAGTATTAACAGCTCCAATAGAGACTTGCTGCAACTCAGAAACTTGAGACATATGAATGTCAGGATATAACTTAGAGCTGACTGGAGGAGCAGGATTCACATCTACCACAGAGTCCAGTGGTAGTGAAACAGTAGTACTAAAAGAAACAAGCTCGCGAGGTACCGGAGAACAGTCTATAGAATGAGGCAGAGAACTCGAATCCCGAGAGAACACTTGAGGAAATGGTACAGGTACTAGTGGAGGATGATGAAAAGTATTGGGATTGACTGTGGATGGTATGGACACAGACTGAGTACCATGAGATTTATTTGGAGACAGAAATGTTGCAGGAAACTGACATTCATTAAAGAGAACATGCCGTGAAACAATGAGTTTATTGTCTTTAGGATTAAAATAGATAAACCCTTTGTATTGAGCAGCATATCCCAAAAATATGCGTTCACTGGTCTTTGGTCCAAGCTTATGAGATCTATAAGGCCGCAGTGAGGGATAACAAGCACAACCAAATATCTTCAAGTGATCAAGCTTAGGTGGAGAATTATATAACTTTTCAAAAGGTGACTGCATGGCTAAAACTGGAGTAAGCATCCGATTAATGAGATAGACAGCAGTGGCACATGCGTGGTACCAAAACTTAGGAGGAAGACTAGCTTGTTGAAGTAGAGAACATTTGTTTCTGTAATATGCCTATTTTTTCTCTCTGCAAGCCCAATCTGTTGCGGTGTGTAAGGGCACGACTTATGATGTAAAATACCCTTGTTCTTAAGAAAGTTCTGAAAGTGAAGCCCAACAAACTCTCCACCACCATCACTTTGCAAGATTCTGATAGAAACATTAAAGTAATTGTGCAAAAAAGCTTGAAACTGAACAAACAGACCAAAAACAGTAGCTTTATTCATGATAGGAAATATCCATGTATACCTTGTACATTCATCAATAAAGGACACATAATACCTATAATTCTCAATAGACACACTAGGTGACGGACCCCAAACATCTGTGTGAATGACTTCAAACGGAATAACAGACTTTGAAGCCAAAGAAGGAAAAGGTAAACCGGTAAATTTGCCTTGTAGACAAGCTTTACAAGTAGGAGAAGAATCTATACAAGAAAAAGAAATATCGGCTTTACTGAGAGCTGCCTTGAGTACCGGATTGGCAGGATGACCCAACCTACAATGCCAGAGGGCAGAACTTATTCTTTTTCCAATATACGCTGCTGGAGAAACCAGAGAAGACTTCAACACTGGTAAGGGATAGACAACATTGTTACTCAAGCCTTCATACAGAACTTTCTGTGTGACTTTGTCCTGTATGCACACAGAAAACTCATCAACAATGCACCTACAATTATTATCCTTGCATAGTTGATGCATAGATAATAGGTGTTGTGATAATTGAGGAACATGTAAGACAGATGTTAAACAAAGATTATTAGTTGGTAGAGAAAGAGTAGACTGTCCAATATGAGCAATTTGTAGACCTGCGCCATTAGCCCCAGTAACAGTATCAGATGATGAATATGGAGCAGCCACTTGGAGGTTGGACAAGTCAGACGTCATGTGATGTGTCGCCCCCGAGTTAAGTAACCAATACTCTGACTGTGGTGCGGAGAGAGAAGGAGTAGACCTTGCAGTCATGGCAACAGGAGCCTGATGTTGAGAGTGCATCATTGCAGGATTAAACGGAGGTGGATGAACCACAGGTGCAGATGGAAATTGGGAAGAGAAGAGAGTCTGTGAAGATCTGAAATAAGGAGAACCAGAAGACGGGAACTGCTGAGGAGTTGATGGGGATGAATAAAATGGAGGAGCCATCAGTGGAGAAAGACCACTGTTTCTGTCAAAACAAGTTGCAGCTGTATGCCCTTTTCCGATTGCAGATTTGACACCCTGTTTGAAAACAATTAAGAGCACTGTGACCTTTCCTATTGCATATTTGACAGGGATGAATAGGTTGATACACTTGCTCAGTAGCCATAGAGGAGTTAGAAGACTGAAAAGAAGAGCCCTGAAACAGAGGTGAAGAAGACTGATGTGGAAATGGAGCACCAGGTTGTTGAGGTTGCTGAAAATGAGTGTAAAACCTATTTCCTTTCCCATTTGATTTGAAGTTAGTCCCCCGGAAGTTATTATAAGTTCCTGAACCACTCTGAGACACAAAAGAGCAAGAGGAGTATACATCGGAACCATATGATGTTCAAAAGGCATTGATCGTAACATTGACTGAGATGAGCCACTAAATGCATTCTGAGAGGAAGTGTGTGTTGCACCACCAGATGATCCTCCAACATCATAGATGGAATTGGAAGCATACATGGCAGACATGATAGGAGCCTGTTTAATAACTTCTTCCAAAGTGGCCTCTTCAGCTTTCAATTGTGATCTCAGCTCTTTTAAAGACACAAGATTCTCTCTGCCCCGTATAACTGCCTTAATAGTATTAAACTTAGGAGGAAGACCTTTGAGAGCAACAATGACAATATCCTCATCTGATATATGGACACCAACAGGAGCAAGTTGATCCCGACAATCCTTGATGCGCTGCAGATATAGATCAATAGACTCTGACCCTTTCTTAATGTTCTGCAAATCAATCTTCATTTGAACAATACTAGTTCTAGTCATATTAGAGAATCGTTCCCGTAGATTACTCCACATTTCCTGTGAACTACAACAACCAATAACACAGGATATGGCAGCAGTAGACAATGTAGCAGTGATAAGTGTCATAAGAGCTTTATCATGAATCTTCCACACTTTGTAATCATCAGTAACAGTGTGGGAATTGCTAACAGTTTCTTCTTCAGAATCGGAACTATGATATTTGTCTGGGCAAGGAATAGAGCCATCCACAAAACCAAAAATCCCATTACCCTCTAAAAGAAGTCCCATTTGAAAGTTCAAGGTAACATAATTGGAATCATCCAATTTCACAGTGACAGTATTACCAACACTAGGAATCAACGAAGAAATTGGGGATTGAGTAAGGGCTAATTGAGCAACAGTCACCATGATGAGAGCTGCAACAGATCAATTTGATCGTCAAGACAAAGAAAAATCAATTCAAGCCAACTGACCACAATTCACCAACACAATTCTTAAAAAAAGAACAATTCGACAACACAGATCTTCAATACAACACTTATGCAAAGAGCAATTGCATCAAGAACCACAAGCACCAACAATTCGTCTTCAGCAACAATGCGACTTCAGCAATAACCGTACTGATAAAGCTACCACATAGCACCAACAATCAACACAGAAGAGCAACAATTAACAAAGAAATTACAAGCATAACAACCACCGACTTACAAAAAACAAGAAATCCCCAAATTTGGGTCTAGGGTTTCCGCGACCGACTGAGATCTGCAAAACACCAACTAAAAAACTCAAAGCACTGAAAGCGACTACTACTAAGAAAACCGAGCGGAAGCACAGGAATCAGAAACCGACGACGGTGTTACCCTTTGCCGGGGATGATACCATGATAACAGCGATGGAGAAAAGTACAGAGGGAGCAGTGATGGAGAAAAGTACAGAGAGAGTATAGAGAGAGAAAGTAGAGAAAGAGAGTAAAGATATTTCGTTGTATATTTTCCACACACACTTACATCTGTTTGCACCAACTACTTTATATATAAATACAATCTCTTTATAACTAACTAAATCTTCTCTACTCTGATAATGACACCTGTCACTATCCTAACCCTTCCTTTTATGCTAACACAATTGGGCAGGAAAAGAAAAATAGGAAGTAGGGTCCAACATAATCTCAGAGGAACATATGTGGATCAGTGTATGCATTATTCCGTTTATGAGATGCATATCACTATATGGTTGTATGATATGCTTGCTTGTTGAGTAAAGATAGGAAAATATGAAACTTCAAGATATATCATTCATGATCGAAGTGACAGATACGTGATTGGCCACAAACATTCTTCGTTTTTGCTTGGCATTCCCTGTAATTATCTCTTAGTTTATTCAAACATTAATTTCATTGTAATTCATCATGCTAACTGTTTCAAATTCAATCTCAGGATGCTTGTGGGGACACGGTTGCTTTGTGCTAAACAATTGCAACCTTTCAAGCCGACATGATCCTGAGATACAGTATGTTGGGCTATGTCTTTCCAAGTTACTTTTTTCTTCTATTGCAGTTTCGAAACTAAATTTTCAGAACATTCACCTACATTATCCCTTGTTTGTTCAAACTTTCCGTTACAGATACTAAGCCTATTATCTGCCAATCATAATCTTAAAAAGTTCTGGCATATATTTATGTGCTTGCATGTAAAGTTTCAGCCTATAAAATATAAATAAAGCCTTCGGTTTTGTTGCAGAACTTGTAGGAACGGAACTTTTGATCTTAGAACATTTTAACATTCTAAATCATAGCGATTTGATAACAGGGAATGATTGGCTCCCAACATTATGCAAATTTGTTAAGTATTGATTCAGAACTGCTTGAAATTTGTTTGGGACTTTGTGCTTTAAGTAGCTTAAATAAATTTTCTTCAAGAGTTAGTCCCATTGAAGAAGATGTGATATATCAAAACCAGTTACTAATGGGATTAACGTTTTGTGACTAGATGTTTTCATTTTCTATTGGCACCTTAGCTGTCATATTCTCAATTGCTTGCTTCGGCAATATGAATATATTGTTTATCTTACTAGTATACAAGGATAAATTTACCTGAAGAGCTTGATAGCTTAAAACTCAATGACTAAGAAATTAAGGAGGAACCATTTGCAATTGTAATTTTACGATTATTGCAGTCCTGTTTCAGGATTAAAGGCACCGCAGCAGTTGAAATTGCATGTGGCCTCCACTGGTATTTGAAGTACTGGTGCAGTGGTCATGTTTCCTTCAAGGGTACAGATTCAACGACCAGTCCTGCGGAACTATTATCAAAATGTTGTTACATCCAGCTGTAAGTATTGACTCTTTGTATCTGCTTTCACTTCGATCAGGTTGTGTACACATTGTTGTACTTTATCTCATTGAGTGTAGAAAAGGCAGCTGAGTGCATGGTTCTGCTAATGTGGATTTTAGGAGGGTAAGACGTTCACAACCGTACCCATGTTTAGTTCTTGAGTTGACAGTAAAATCAAAAGAGAAATAAGAGGATGAACAGTAAATTAAGAAATGAAGAAAGTGCACATAATTTGCAATTAAAAAAAAGGTGTAATGTAATACTTTTAACTTTAGTTGATATGTTTATCGTGGCAATGGAAAGTTAATAACGCATGGGATATGACATATTTTTGCAGATTCATTTGTGGTGGGATTGGGAGAGATGGCAGAAAGAAATAGATTGGATGGTTCTTCAGGGGACTAACCTGCCTTTAGCATTCACAGGGCAAGAATCAATTTGGAAGAAACTTTTCATGGTAAGTTATAATTGCTCTTACATATATGAAGATATTCATCAAATTCTAGGCTTCTACATTATATGTCTTGCATACGTTGCCTTTTTTAACACAGAATTTGTATGCCTTGCTTATAGGAGTTTCTTAATTAGCACATGGCTGCCACGCATGAAAAAGGAGAACATAAAACCTTGAATGTTCAACACAAGAAACATATAAATTCTATTTTCTGTACTCACAATGTTTACATATCACATATAGATTACAATTTTACAACGGAAGTACAGATTGATTTGATCCTGTGCTGGTGATAGGAGCAGTTTTTTTATTTGACTTATTGTAGTTTTTACAAGATGGGGGACATGTTATTTACTGCTGAAAAATAGTTTTGTAACTCTTCAATTAGTAAAGTCTTAATGTCTCTAAAATGAACAGGTGACCCTCGAATTTTCTGAGCAAATATAATTTGGATTGATCCAGATTCAACAACTTGGATTAGAAGCCCAAATAAATCTCAAAAGGGTGAATGGGCCTTGGATGTTGTTCTGGAGAAATCTGTTGTCAAGCAAAGCGGTGGTGCGTGGAGAATTTTCTCGATTCTTGCCTCCCTGTGCCTCACCTAATTGATGCCAGGCGTTCCTTCAGGTAAATAAGAGGTTCACAATTTTCCTTCATTCTAGTGCGAATCGTGGACTTGACCCTGTATCGAAGCCATGCTAGCTTTTGTGGTTAATTGTTTATATTATGGGTTGTAATAGTACTGTGTATATCTTGTTTTGTTGGTGTCATTTAGTATTACTGTATTAGGCAAGATAACCTAAATAATTTATTTCAAGCTGTATGTATTGACACTAACTCAATTTTTTGTTAGTCATTTTATGTTTTATCAATGAGTAATGTTTTATCATTGTCAACTGTCGAGAATTAATGATGTAGGAAAACAAAAAACATGCATGCGTGAATGGAATTATATATATCAAGTTTCAATGGGCATCAATGAAGTTGAGTCAATATATAAAAAGACCTACTCAGTTGTTGTATGAGTCTATAAGAAAATGATTTGCACAATTTTTTTTTTCGGAAACTATATTAACACTCCAAAAATCTCATTTTACACTCCTCATAAGTGTATTTTTCTTTCTAATTATAGAAAGTTTGGAGTGCGAAATGAGATTTTTGAAGTACCAATAATAATTCATTTTTTTTTCCCGGCATATCCTATATTTATGTAATATGAATCTCTTTAAATTTATTTAATTTAAAGACGGTAAATGAAAACTGTGCAGAAATCAGTTTTCGAGTCCAAACTCAAAACCTTCCCAGTAGAGAATGCAACAAAAAATGCATGTTGACCCCCAATCCCAAAGCAAGAAAGAAGCTTCTAATGGAGGAGGTTGTGAAGCCATATCAACAAACTATTAACACTAAATGAGGAATGTGGGACTTGAACTTGTTAAAAGTACATATTCAATATTTGAGGGTTCAAAAGCACTAAGGCCAAAACATCATTGCACATAAGAAAGGCAAACCCTTTGAAGTTCTGACCAATGTGGGGTTTTCAACCCTAATTATTTGTGTGAATGTGACTATAAGTGGGAGGTCACTTTCCATTTAAAAAATGGCATATGATGATATGATTACACTTTGAGAGCTCAACCTCATTTCAGCCATTTCAATTGCATGTGAAGTTGAACTCATAAGATTCTCGTCTTTGCGGCCAATGATGAAAGTAGCTTTGTGTCCATGTGTGAACAATTCTTTCCTGGAACCGGGTTCTTTCCTCTCCAATTTTTCCTACCCTCCAATAACCTCCTTTCATTGCTAGTCATTCAAAACATTTCCTTGTCGATTCAATGCTAAAGATTATGTCACGTAGGCAACAACAATCCTCATACTTCATTAAACCCAAACGACGACGTTCATGGACCCCAAAAAAAACATCTTCTCCGTGTTGCATTCCCCTCTCTCCTCTCTCTCTTTGGAATTATCTTGGACAAAAACTCTGAAACAAGCTTCCCAAAAAAGCCAATCTTATATGCATGTTACCTACGTAATGAGTGTTGTTGAGACAAAAATAATATGTAAAGGAGTGTAAAAAAAATAATTAGTCCATTCTCGACTATTAATATAGCATGGCCCTAAGGTCAAGGTGCTACTCATTGCTCATGTTGTTCCAACGTTAGCAGAGAAAATGGAACAAGGTATCCTATCTATTCGTATGGAAAAAGTAACCTTGGCCAACATTGACAAGGCACAATAATTAAATAAGATATCTCCATATATTGATTTAATAATAGGTCAATCATTGAGTCATAATTCGTAGGTACACATTATCGTAATAGATTAAAATTTTCACTAGCGTTGAGGTTCAATTTATTTGCCAAATTCTTTAGTCTAAATAAAGAGAAATGTTTAAGAGATTTTTTTTTAAAATAGAGAATCTTTATGAATTTTTTGTTACTTTACAGTTTAGCATCAATTTTTATATCAATATTATAAAATATTGTACTAAAAACATGAGGTGTTAGAGAGTCTCACTTTTGAAATATATTGATGAATGTAACTAAATGGGTAGGATCAAGGAACAAGTATTTGTTTTGTTCAAAGCCTTTATATCAATTCACATCTAATGACCTTAAATAAGAGGTATGATGACATTAAAAATTTATTATCTAACGTGGCTATACATAAATAACTTTCAGCTAAGCAATATAATTTGAGAAAATAATATTGCAAAAATGCTATTTTTACCACATTTTCATACTACATTTGTATAATTTGAGAAAGATAGTTCAATATATTGTTATTACCTACATATGTTGGTAGGTCATACTTCTATTAGAGAGGTGGTACAAATGTGATATGAAAGTGTAGTAAGTACAACACATTACCCATAATATTATGGAGACTAATTTTCATTTCAAGAGGATTAGAAGGGGATTTGAATGAATAATTTTTCTTCTTAAGTAATCTATTTCTTAATTTCCTTCAAGTTAGTCACCAATTTTTCGTTTATTCTTTCAACATACATAAAAAAACAGTGGCTTATTCATTCTAATTCCATGGTCTATACTAAATGAGCCCTTATTGTCAAGAGCTTCAAAATCACTTCACTAGCTAAAATGAATCGTGTATACTAAATGAGCTCATATTGTCTAGTGCTTCATATTCACTTCACTGTCTAAAATGAAAATTGATTGATGTGGAACAAGGGCATGACAAAGAGTAGTTTTCTTGGAAATTAATAAGGACATTTGGTACGTAATAACAAATATAGAGCTATCTTTCTTTCTTCTTTTTTTTTTCTCATTTTAACACAGGTAATCTTATCCATACACTAATTTTTACTTTTCACACACCTTCAATTTTCAACTATGAAATCAAATGAATTGAAAAAGATCAATAACAAAAAATTAGCACATGTGTGTAGAAGGTAAAAACTATGTATGTAAATATCACTTTCCTTTTAACACCACACGGATAATAGAAGGTAAAAACTGTGTATGTAAGTATCACTTTCCTTTTAACTATAGGATAATATAAATGATTATGATCATAATACACATGAAAATTCAATCAATTAGATAATACCCAAATGCATCAAACACATATATCAATAAATAAAGCAGTAAAAAGGAAAAGGTAAAGAATGATCTGGCCTGTGATATCAAGAGAGGTGTGTTGTCACTGTCCTAAAGCCGTAGACGCATCCCTACGTGCCGATTATAACGGCTATCTACAACTCCAAGATACAACCCTTGAATTTCACAGTGTCTAATCCATAAGCACGATTACAGTAGAAGGGATGCCAAGTAGTGATCAATTGCCCATTGATGATCAAGATGAGTAGGAAGATAATAAGAATTATATATGAGTACTGTAGTAGAGAGAGAAGGAAGACATTTTAATCTATGTTAACGTATTTGTTCTGTTTGAGGAGTTCGCTATTTATTAAACTCTACATACCCCTTAATAAAAGACATTACTTCTCTAATGAATATGACTCTTCATATTTTTTATTGAAAATAATAATAAATAAAGTTTTGAATCTTTAAGAAAATAAAATAAATAACCAACAATCCCCCACAAGATTCAAAACTCCATAGAAATGTAGAAGAAGTAAATATATAGATATGAATGGAAGAAATTTGGGCAACTTGTATACCATGCAATAGGTGTAGGTGTCTTTTGGACTTGAACCTACACTTAGTGTTAACAACTTTCATCTGAAGGAATCATAATGAACTATGTCTTGAACTAGACTCCTTTTGACCAGAATACTAAATGTAACACACATGGTATCGATAAAAAACTTGGCGCGGGTTAGCGCTATTTATGGCCATGCGCTTAATCTTGATTCTCATAAGAGTTATTAGAGAACAGCCCAATCCTCACAGTTGCGGCCTCACAACTACTCTCACTTAGGTGAGTTCTCCAAGAGTACATGTGACATGTACCCTGCGGGAGATTGCCCGCCTCAAAACTCATTCAAGGTTAATACCCTTCCTAACGTCACATAAAATTGCAATAATGTCATAGGGATGAGTAGAAAGATATCTCATGGATATCTTCATTATAATATGAGTGCTATAATGAGTCACGCAATATGGATTGTTTCTACCACATTGAACTTCCTTCATGGGATCTCCAATCACAGAAGTTGGGTTTCTTCCTTAGGGGACTCCCTTATGGGCTTAAGCACATCCCCCTCGACAATTTTGCATTTAGCCTGCGCGAGGCATGCAGATAAATGACTAACAAGTCATTTTATTAATTATGATTGCCTTCACAAGGCATATATAAGTTTTCTGGTCATATATTTGCTTGTCAGCGCTCTTAAACTTACACGTTATAACTGCAAGCTAAAAAATATTTTAGTCATAATTTCACATATAAGTTGTTTAAGTTGCATAATTAATCATTCATAACTTCACTAGAATAAACATGGGTACGAGCAATGAAACATACCACCACATTCTGACACTTACTAGAAAATTAATTTCATGGAAATCTCAAATCAATTTCATTATATATAAGATATCAAAAGTAAGAGTAATTATATGCACATTGAAGAAAAATTCAATATTATTTGTTTGTTCTAGTGAGCATTGACATAAAAGAATTAGGAAATATTGTTAAATAACCAAGAGAGCATCAAACAGTAATCTATATTTCCATAGTATGCTTCATCATTAAGTATAGAATAGTATACACACATAACTATTTTATAATTGACAACAGATTCAATCTCATGATAAATCTCACAACCACATATATAAATATGAACATCAACTGTAAAGTAACTACACGTACTTGCATAGAAGTTTAACATGTTCGCCATTTTGTCTCATGCTAAAAATCTCAATAATTTCACATGTGTAATCTCTAAGATGAAAACAAAATAACCCATATTACTTAAAAATGATATACACAGCCCTTTATTTTTTTCGCTTTTCTTCTTGTTTCTTTTCTTCTTCCTTTACTTATATATATATATATATATATATATATATATTGCACATAATGCATATCAAATCAGACTAATGGAAGTCAAAAGTATGAAGTGGTGAAAATGCAATAATTCAAGAAAGATATGCAGTCCGCAAACTATTGTCAGGCATGGGACTAAAGTACTTACATGAAATAAATAATATGCAAATGCAAGTAATGTAATGTGATTGTCTAGGAATGGAACCATTTCTTGATTAAGAGAAAATATCAAATTGAATAATCCCGCTTCTCTTCTAGA